CACACTCTAGTGTGGCTCCCCTGGCCAGCTGCTCACGCTGACCACAGGGAATAACCCTAAGCCTGAGCTTTGGTTCTGTGCAGTTTAGTTCAGACACTGGAAAGGCCAAATTGCAGGGCCCTGATCCCCTAATCCAAAGCCAATGCCCTCCCTACCCCAGCCTGGTCCCAAGACTCCCTCCAGGAGCCCCATGTTGCAAATGGGGAAACTGAGGACTCTCAGAGATGAGAAGCTGAACCTTGACACTGGGTTCTTTCTTCCCAGAGTCCTCTGGGGCACTCAACTAAACATTAGTTAAGTGGAGTGTCTGGATCCTACAGGGTATGACAGCCAAGTCTGTCTTCAGATATGCAAGTAGTCACCCGGGGTTATATAGACCACCCTTCAGGCTTTTATCTGGAAATGGCCACCAGTAGAAACAGGAAGGGTGTAGCACCCTGTAGGTACCAGGCAGGGCCTAGGAGCTGTTCACTCAGCCCTGCCCTGCCCTGCCATGCCCTGCCCTGCCTGGGCAAGCTGCCAGCTTGCTGTCAAGTCTCTACTTCCAGCCTCCTGTTTACAAGCCAGGTTTCCAGTAGTGTGGGACACTCAGAGGCCTCCCAGGGGCAGCATGGGGGTTGGGAGCTGGGGTGGCCAGAGGGCCTTCCCCTATTGGCTCAACCTCTGCCCCAAGGAGATGTCACTGGCTCCCTGCAAAGGAATGCCCGCAGGAAGCCTGCCTGAGACCTTGTGTTTCCTCTGCCCTTCCAGACAAGGCATGGCTGATCAGGTGATGGGTGGGTCTAGCCTGAGCAGAGGAAAGTCACAGCGAGGACGGGCAGGAAGGATGGAAAAGATCACACGCTTACTCCCCCTGCCCCAGTATTCCAAGGGAGGTGGCTAGCCTTGGAAGGGGCAGAGCCACCAGAGCACTTGGTTTGAGCAGACTCTTAGACTACAAAGGGAGGACAAACAGGAAATGAGGTGGGCCCCAGGCAGACAGTCTCAGCTTCCTGCATCAGCTGGCTCAGTTCCCAATAGGCTGGCTTCTTGACTTTCCTTCTTTGGCACCAGGTTAGGAACTAGACACAGACCTTTCCACCTGCTAGGGCAGCACTCACTGCTGACCAAGCCCCCAGCCCCTCACTAGGGAGTTCTAGGCCGGGCTCCACCCCTGAGCCAGGCCCCCAGCTCCCCCTGTTTTTGTTTTTCGTTTTATTCTTTTTCTTTTTTTGAGACAGGGATTCACTTTGTAGCTCACTTTAGTTTCCTTCCTTTTTTTTTTTTTTTTTTTGGTTTTTCGAGACAGGGTTTCTCTGTGTAGCTTTGGAGCCTATCCTGGCACTCGCTCTGGAGACCAGGCTGGCCTCGAACTTTCTTGCCTCTGCCTCCTGAGTGCTGAGATTAAAGGCGTGTGCCACCAACGTCCGGCATAGTTTCCAGCTTTCTGTGGCTTCAATCACCCCTTTTCAGGGATGACAGAGTGGGTCATCAGTTCTCCCAGCCTCAAGCATTGTCCTCCCGTGTTCCCATCACCTTCCTCCGTGTACACCCATCTTTTCTTCTCTTGGGTTCAGCAGACATTCTTTCCACATACATAAGTGTGAGCAAGAGCTGTGCTTGTGGCTGAGCTCTGTGACACCGGACTGCTACTGTACACTTACATACCTGTACCTTTGGGGGAGGGAAAGTTTTTCCTACCTCAAAGCTGGCACCTCAGGCTCAGGGGACTCCATACAGAGCCCTCAACGCCAAGCAGGCTCTGAAAGAGCCAACAACCCAGGGTCAGAGTGCGTTTGGTGAAGTGTATTCTGTCTCCAGGCATGACACTCACCCTGTACTCTACCCCCAGACAGCTCAGTGAGGGCACCCCAGTGGAGAGACAGGCACCCATGCAAGTAAAACTCGCCCTTGTGACCAGGGGACTGATCTGATGCAATTGGCTGTAAGCAGCCCTTCCCGTTGGCTGAGTTACTTCACTGTCCCAGTCACTGAACAGGGCAGGACAGAGCGAGGGCCAGTCAGTGTCCTATGCTGAGAGTTGGAAGAATCCCAGGAGCAGTGGGTGTGGTCTGGGAGTTGTGGCTGCCAGGACTGACCAGGCTGTGAGTGTTCTGGCAGCCTTGGTGCCCCTCCTCCTCACTAGGTCACACCACAGAAGTCCCACCCCATTGGAGTCCAGCTGCACTCAGTCCCTAAGGGAGTGATAGAGGCTGTGCAGTGTGGCTGGGAAGGGCTGGCTCAGCAGTTGGTTCAAAGTCACCACCCTGTCCTAGTGACTGGTGAACCAGTCATTGGCCAATGTGCTGTCTTCCTGCTCTTGCCTCCTGGGGAATCATGAGGACACCAGGTGGCTTTGGGAAGTCTAGATCCTGGTCACCTGTTCTTTCCTGGTGACCCCAGGGACCTAGGGTGTCACATACTAGAAACTGGAGTTTTCATGGAGACTTTAATATTTAGGGTGCACATGAGGCGCTGGGTGGGGGTGCCTTGTCATCTCCTGGGCCAGAGGGGACTCCGAAGATAAGAAACAAAACAAAACTAGAGCTGGAGACCACTGGATGCCCGATGTCACCATCGGGTCATGGCAGAGGCAGGCAAATTTGGCGCGGCCCTTTTGAGAAGAGCGAGGAAAAGGCTGCTGACCAAGGGATTTGTTGCCTCTATACACTGGGACAAGCGCCAGGGCCGCAGGGAGAGACCAACCCAGGCACGCCGGCCTTATTTTTTAACCTTTGTCAGACGTGACCCCAAGACACATAAAATGACCAATTTGGGCCCTTTTAAGCTCCTTAACCCGCAGTCA